CCACCCCTGTGTTGTAGACACGCAATAGTGTATAGGAGTTATGAGCGATAAGTAATTATTCACTTTTACCAAACAGTTTCTAATTACGATGGTAGACATTTGCAAATGATTTAATACAAGCCTGTTTTTGGTGGACCAAAAATTAAATACTAGAAAAAAGAGAACAATTTATAAGCAAAGGAAACGTACAAAACGGGTGGCGGAATCTTTGAAGGTTATTTACTGAAATTTACAACCCTTAAGCACCAAGCAGAAACTGAATTTAGTTAATGGTTGTTTCAATATTACTTCGCCGAAACCCCAATCATTAATTAGAACTTTTCGTGCGTGAAAACTATCGCCACGTTACTTCGTCACAATATACCTACTCTCGGTCTTAACAGTCGTTCGCCGTTAACAAGAAACAAGAGCAAATAGAGATTTTACTCCCCCGGCGGTTTCAAAATAGCGTTTCCGCTCGTAAATCGCCCAATTAAAATATGTACGAAGTTAGATCGGTTTTTAAAGAGCGGCGCTAAACAAACAATCGCTTCCTGTTTAAAAAAATGAACTGTTCATTTTTTAGGGTAGGTACTTTCGGTAGGGCTTAAAATTTGATTAGAGTATCATTTGTAGATAATTGAAAATTTGACCAGATCGATTCGCGTTTCCAATTAACCTGGGGTCGGAAATGTTTCGTTTGGGAGTCCCGAAGACAGCATTTCACTAAGTGCGATTTTTTGTGGTCTAATCTATTTTGAAGTTAAGTAATTGTAATAAATTTTGTGACAATGCGGAAACAAGTTTGGAATCCGCCTTGAGGGTTGGGTCTAACAAGGTGGTCGAAATATTCCAAATTACTTAAAAATGGAGTAGAGAAAATGTGCTAAAGTAAGTTTTCTTGCAGTAATTTGGTTAATGTACAAACAAGTTCAAGCAAGTGGTGTGAATTTTCCGACTTTCGAGTATAGTACGTATGGTTAATGCTTTGCAATTCGGTACATAACTAATGGAGGTTTTCCTCATATTTTGGCCTATATTGTCAATTCACGAACTTCGATCTACAAATTTGATAAAGAATCCACCTGCAAAATTTAATCGTAATTCGTTTTCGAGATGTGCTTACGGGTGTAACGGAACACCCGTTTTTGTACAAGGAATTACATCAGGATTAATGAATACATTGATGAACACCCGGACTTCGATGAACTCAAACGGGCGCTTCCTTACGCGAAATTGTAATTCCGGACATGCGGATTTCTTTTCTAGGAGCGCGAAATAGAAGGTAAAAGTAATGTTAAATTTGTAAAGCCACTTTAACCGCTAATGAGGCAGGTGCCGAACATAATTGTGAAGATTCTAATCGCTCCCGTAGAGATAAGTAAATTATTTTTGTAGCATCCGATAGTTTTCGGCATGGGGAAGCATCGGGAAAAAATTAATATTTTAGGATTTCAGATCCGTTAATTAGGTATTCTCCCGATATCATTATCGCATACCTTTTGCGATTAACCCGAAATTCCATGTAGCAATGAGCTTTAGTGGGTTACCGAATTTGGAAATTTTAATCCGGCTTATTAAGTGAGTATAATTAACCATAGTTAATTAATTGTGTTGCAGCAAATGTCGTCGGATTAAATTAGGCCTAGTAGTGCGCTTAATTAATATTGATTTTGAGATATGAAGAAGTTTTAATTTGGGACGTTATCACTCGTGTACGCCGACCGGCTGGAAGTTTATAACAGCACGATTTAGAGGGAATCTTTTTTCATTTTGGCTTCGTGTCATTTAAGTTTAAATTTTTGCATTTGAACGTACCGTTTAATTTCAAGCAACTGTTTGTGGGCTGACTTCCCGACAAAGTTCGTCGCAACCGCGAAACAGGTTATTTTTAAAACAGAGAGGGCATGGAGAAGATATCGCACATTTACGGATAAATAGATAACTTGTATAGAAGAAAATTATAACGACCCGGGCGGGAGTAAGATTGGGAGCGGCAACTTTCGTATTATTTAAGATAGAGATTGGGGATATTAAAAAAAAACTGCCGGTATCTAAAAAATGTTATATCATAAAAATGTATCGTGATTCGTTTAACTCAAAAATCGTAATGTAATGGACGCCAAGAGAATATTTCTTTTCATTTACCAAAGGATACTAAAATCCCTAACTAGCTATTACAAACAATCATTTTTTCGTTTTTAGGGCATTTTTTGCAAATTTATTTTGCCGTAAAATTTACATTTCCCGAACTGCCCTTATGATTCGAAACTATGGTTCGGAAACAAGACAACTAATTCAAATTTTTCACGCCGAATATCTAAATTCCCTTTTCATCGAATTCATGCGATCTCGCCTCAATTACTGAGACACTTCATCTGTTCATTTTTTCAAAACCGAATGATACCCTCCGTAATTACCGAGTTGTTTCTCAGACTCGCAAATGGCGGATTACCTATCAAAATTATAATACCTAATGGCTAATGTTGTCTATTGGTTAGTGTCTTTCTTACTACCGATCTCAAATGTCTTTAAAGGTCGTTAATCATTCCCATCTCTTTCCCAAAACAAGCTGACTCAAAAAGCCTCCACAGTGACTTTATCTCATGATGAGTTTACTAATGTAATACTATATCTCCATAAAAAAAGACTGAATTTGCAACCGATCACCGTTATCTTGACGCCTCAAGTAATTAATGAACAATAACACATTGAACATGACTAATTACAAATGACGAAATGACACATATTTAGTTGACCGCAACCAACCAGTTAAATTCTATACATCATCATGACCAAAATTCGTTTGGCAAGACACTTTTACAACTTTACAAATTCTAATTTACTTATTTATGCGACAAAAATTCAGAAATCCAAACCTAAATACTCTCGTTACACTCTTATCTCTTGATTAACACCTTTTGCAGAGTCATTTGCATAACGGATAGAAACCATACTCTCCAAAATTAAAATTATCATATCTTAAAGGTGGGTAGAGAAGACTCGCAGCGATCAAAGCAGCGTTCGAATTATTGTAGGGACGCTAAAACGGCATTATTATCGTACAAAAAGTAACACTCAACCATATCTCGCATTTCCTATGATTTCCTATGATTATTTCATATGAAACATAATAATAACTTTGAATAACTGAGTATAATTTTGGTACTAAACGCGATGCCCATTTCGTTTTAAATAAACGATTTTTATTTTTTGAAGGGAAAACCATGCGCCGAACAATGAAAAACCAGAAGATCTAATTTGCTCAAAAATGAACGATAAAAATACCCATAACAAAGTGTCTGTTTTTAGAAAGAAAAAAAAATTACACAAAACATTCACGAATTGCAGGTGCGCATTATGGACGAGATGCAGGCAACGCTTCCAAGTTACCCAAAATGCCGTTGGAGGCTTTCATGATTGAAATAGGTCATTACTAAATTGTAAACGGCAAATGTTTTGAGCATTTCCTATAAATGTAGTGACGTTAACTATAATTAGTTAGTAGTATGTGTAGTAAGCAACCCTAGAACACCCGGTATATTGCATAATTTGTGAGCCATCAGTATAATGGGATCAGTAGAAGACGCAATCGTCCCTGGCGAGCACATTTGAATATTAGTAGAAACCGGATAAACTTTTGGCGCATTTTTGTGATGGGCGTAGTTGTTCGAGCAGTAGACTACGAACTGAGAGGACACGGATTGGATCATCCCCACTCTCTTCACGCACAGCTATCGGAGCCAGATTATATGGCTGTTACATAATTTAGCGTAAAACGTGGGGCTTGTTTCACCACAGTTTCTTTGGCGCGGTTTAAGCCTGAGTTCGGTTATCTCATGATTAAGTAACTCGTGCTGGCTCTAGAAGTGGGAATGAATGTATGTATTGACGTGCGAACGTGCATTGCAACGGACCTAAGAAGAACAGCGTGTTTCCAGATTTTACCGCGTATGATAGTGTGAGCGTAAGAGGCGAGGTGAGGCGCCGCAGCCGCTAAACCCACACTTTGGCTCTGTTTATATACTTTACATTTGCAATAAACTTACTATTGACGGCTACAAATTTGGTCTAACTGTTGAAATTGTCTAATTAATAATAACTTGCCTTACTGACGAAGCGATCCAAAGAACACCTACCTGCAAAAATAAAAATAATTATTATGGTACACATTAAGAATAAATTCGAGTTTCAACAAAATTAAAAAAAAACATCGTGATTTTTATCCATCACAGATTCAAATTCATGTTACGGAATAACAATCAGGTTTAAGAGTACCTATATGTAAATATATGGACATTTCGAAGTAATTTTTTTTCCGCTAAAATAATATTCCAATATAAAGTAAACATCAAAATTCACGTGAAAAGCATTTTGCGAAAAACGTGGAGAGCTCTTCAACTTACGCGTGCTCAAATTTTCCCATAAACCTGAAAACTTCTATCAATTACGCGAAAAAACTGTACGTACTTATCGGCCATTTCAGATTCACGCGGCAATTATTTTTAATTCAAAAAGCGACATCTGCACGGCATTGTTATTATTTACACACTGTGAACGGATATTTCTCTTGGTAATTGCAATTACGTGCAAAAATATGGGAAACGTTCTAAATGATCTACATTAACAAATTTTGTATTCCTACTTGATGCAGATAGATTTGCGGGAAATTAAAAATACAGTAAATGCGCAGGATGGGATTCCTGCCAAGATGTGTTTTTTCTCTCGGATCTGGCCACACAACTAGAGGTTTCTGTTGTATTGTTACCATGGGAACAGTAAGCTAAAAGTATGATAATCAAAAATATATAGAACGATTGCTGGTTGTCGGAGTGGAACTATGTACTGTATTAGGTATATTGCATAACTAAAAAAATGACACGTATCGGAGCATCGCATATATTTCACTTAGGGCGGTATAGAATATGAAAAAAATCATTCAGGTGTAAACCCAATGCTTTTATAATCGAAAACATTTTCCAGAGTTAACACAAAACATCAATAGAGAATTGAGCATTTACCTGTGCAATTTCGTTTTCGGCCATGTGAGAAACTATCTATTACTACCAGGTCTAAAAGGGCACGGGAGATGAAAATATAACGATATAAGCAGCATGGACACCACAAAACCTCACATCACTCACAGTTCGTGAAAAAAACAAAGTTTTGTAATCACCCTGTATTAACATCGAATATGTAAGGTCTATAGTTCATGAAGAGAATTTTAAGGTTTGTGTTTACATGTGGTGGAAACTAGTGAAAGGGTACGTGCGATGTATAAGGAAAAAGTACATAGGGGATGCTCTGTATTACGGCGCTGGTTCGAATGCTGGGCTCGTTGCGACGCCGACACCCCCACCTCAAGTGAAATCGATCATTGAAGCCTTGCTGCGCCGCAGTCTAAATTTACTTTATTCTCAAAGCGTTTTGTCGAAAAATCGTAAAAAAATTAGTTATGAATACTTAAATTATAAGAAAAGTTTGAAGCACTTACAGAACACGACACCCACGTTTTATTAATTCAAAAAATATGCGTAGGTGGCATTTCTGTGTGGAAGGTAGATTGTGTCTCTAAAAGTTAATGGGGTCAAATATGGGGTAGGCAGTCAAATGTTGAATTCGTGTTCTATCTAGGACAAATTTTGTTGTTCCCTTTAAGATGATCACTCGGCAGAAATAATTTAAATTCCGCTTTTTGGAGTTTATCTCCCGAAATCGTTTTGTGTATGCGAATTATTGCCAATAATTTTTATGAAGGGAGAATATGGTTGCAAAGCTGATGCTGCGTGAGGGCGAACACCCCCTCTCATTCTCGGATCGGTCGGGATACAATTTGAAGAGACTTGCTAAATAAAATTATATCACGCTTCTCGTTTCATGTAAGGTTAGAATTGGCAAAAATCGGGATTATAGGACACATTACAATTTGGCATTTGCCTGGTTGTGCAAATATTGGGGGAGTGCTACAAAAGAATGCATCCATTCAAGTACAACCGGAAAGATTGATAAAGATAAAATAAATATGGACATGAAAAGCAGGAGGAAAATGTACTTCGACACGAACACGTTACCTTAACCATAAAGCTCCTGATGTGGTATTTTTGTGTCAAAATAAGAGCTAGTTCACATTACTCTCCTTGGAAATATGTTCCAGAAATGCATTCAGAATAAATTTACGATGCATTACTGGATATTTGCAGTTTTGAGTTTGATGCACAATAGCTAATAAAACCATTGTAAGTTAAAAATAATCGTGTACTTTTCTTATAGCTGTAGACATGAACACGCAATTCACCTGTAATAAAAACGCGGACCGTTACAGGCATTATACAGAGAAAAATCAACATTTACGCACCGCACTGGATATCAACAAAAACATGAATTGAAACGCATACAGAATTGGCAGCACACTCACCCTATACCAAGTGTGTTTAAGTCTTAATAATGTGACTTTGGGTACGGATCAAAAAAATTAATCACAATTTTGCATGAAACATTTATCTGGATCGTTAAAGGGTTCGAATAAATACACGATTTACATGAATTCACACAAACAAAATTTATTCTAAGCACACAAATTAAACTAACCATAATATTCCAATAATCAAAATGGACTTACAACAAGGTCCGTTTACACACCTCGCATAAGCGTTCGATTACAATTAAACAAAATAATGTGCAAAAAAAACACTAAATGCGCGAGAACAACGCACTTAACAAAACATATCGTATTACACTTACTTTCCTTACACTTAACTTCTCTTCAGGTCACAGTAACGTAATTTTACTCAATTGACTTACACTGGCTGGCCGAACATACGATAGAAGAAACGATGACAACTTCATAAAAACTGTTACACACAACTTTTAAATACGTCTTCTTAAAACTTTCACTCACACTCGGCTGATTTCCTGATGAATTTTACTTGACGATCAATACGAAACTGAATGCAGGACGCGCGCCTACTAAGCTTTCATCGAAATTAGCGAAAAGGTCCCTTTCTTACGCCAACTTCAGTATGTAACGTGTCTTCTTACTTCCAAATTTCGAAAAAAACTTCCTCCAATTAACGGAACGTAGCAACACGACAAGCAATCAAAACTTCGTTTCTCCCGCTCCTGCAGTCACCTTGGTATCAAAATTTTACGCAGCATTGTCTTATCTTAGATAACAATTTCTACGAAAAACGCGCAGATTTTTGCCCATTAAAATGCATTTTTATCGCTAATAAATTACACCAACCTTTTACAAAAATAATTAAAGTGACCACAAATTAAATCAGAACTGTCACTTAAATAAATTGATAACGAAAATTGCCCTAGATTTAACAATTCTAGGAAATAATCTTTCTTCAAGAAAAAATACACCACCTGATACAATTAAACGCAATAATCGTTTACACGTAATAAATAAATCAAATTATAGTAACGTTTTATTATTTTTTCTATGGCGATCGATTTCGGTTAAAAAACCATCCTCAGGTCAAGCGTCTTGTAGTTGACAACAAGTAGAATAAATTAAAGTGTGGGTTACACGTAACACCCCCCCCCCCCCCTCCTAGAGCGAGTTAGGGAATTATTGCCTAAGAAGTACGTTGTAAATTTCATTAAGGTTGATTCCCAAATGAAATACTAAAAGCCGTATTAGGATTGGATGATTTTGCAAAGAATAACATGATTATCGGCACTGTTTCAGTTTCAAATTAAGAGTTTAAAGCTCAGTTGTTTTAAGATTGTGCGGTTTTAAGGATTGTTTTTTTTGTGTCAATGGTTTCTCAATAAAATTGGTCGCTCTATTGTTTTTTAAGTCAATGGTCCGGATACGGTACTATTCGATTAATTGTATGAGAAAGTGGGTCACACCAGTCTGGCGAGAGATTAGGCAGAATTAATGGGTTATACGTGTCCGTTTCTGATGAGTTGGATTCGCTTCGTATCACAGCATTAGAACTGCTTGCCCCGAGAATTCTGCCAAAGATTAGCAAAAATTGCCGATGTCGTGGTTTCTGTCTAAGCGAATGCAATCGAGTAATACGCATAACGCGCGAATTTGAACTTGTCAACAATTCGTCTTCTTTAAAGGGGTACCGATTTTTTCATTCGAAATGTTCCAAGAGTGATTAGCTTGAGAAAACACGATAGTAAAATTGTCCTGAAATCGAACCGGGGACACAGAAAAGTTGAGTAAACCAGTAAAATAAGGTAATTGCATCTTTCTTATAACTGTGTATACAATCCATTACCGAGACTTTAAGGGCAGAAAAAAGGGGATATGTAAGTGAAAGGAAAAGTTATTGAGAACTCAAGCAAGGAGTCTATTCTTAGCACGATGTGACTTCATTTTATTTTATTTGAAAATGCGACATTTTCCAACAACGAATTCTATTCTGCAAAATAAGGGTAGTTTGTAGTAACATCCATATATCAAAATCAACGATATCTCAACCAAAATTCGTGTTTTTATTAATTTATCTCACACTACAAAACACAAACCAATTTTACATTTTACCATGATCAAAAAGCCAATGTCGTGTAGGAATGCTACTCATATTACTTTGTTGCATTTTTCATATGGATATATCGATTATCGATAATTTTTTATTATCTGTACTGTATTCATAGCGGCTGACAATTCACCCAATTTAGGCTTGAACCTCCTTTAACTGTACTATGTCCCTGCTACCCAACTAATAATTCACGCTTGCGAACTGTACTGCATGACAGCTCCTTGCGTATCCCGAGCCTAACGCGGCTTCCCGCCGGCTGCTTATCGCTTAGTATATCCCAAAAACTCTCTCTCTTCTAATCCTCACTTTCTTAATTCCCCAAGAAACACCTACAAAATGGCGGATAATGGTTCTAGAAATAACACCGCGCCGTGGCATGATTATGAGCAATTCTGAATCAATCGTTTGGTCACGTAAAAGCCATTAATCTCTCGGTATCGCCCGTCAGAGGGCCGCCAATAACTTTCACAGGCAATACCGGTGTTGACCAAATGACTACATAACTAAATTAAATCGATAACATTGAATTGATTATTCACACTCAATTTGGCATGTGCGCACTTCTGTCTACCGTTCATTTCGTGGCACTACTAGTATTCCCCTAATCCTCACAAAAATAATAGAAATCTACATTTATTATACGAAATACTAATAAAACACAATGCGGAACCACTGCGACTTCGACTATTATTTCGAATTTCTTTGTAAAACATTTGAATAGTTTTTTTTCTACTGACAAAATTACTAACAAATGAGTTCGCTCTGGATGCGGCAACCATTTATCTGAAATTACAATTTTATCCCAGACTTGTAACAGATGCCGAGCAATCAATTCAGTGCAATTTGTGTGCATGTTCTACTCAAAATCCCTTCAATTGTCCGATTTTCAGTGGATATAATATAAGCAGAACTTCCCATACTTGAACTAGACATAATATAGAATTGCGCAATGTAGATGTCGAGTCGAGCGCTTTTCCATTACCATTCTATGTCATTTGTAGGATAGCAACACACTCAAAGCCCGTAATATGCGGAGATCTTTATAAAATAGCCCCTGAGAACAGCCAAGTATCATCCCAATTGTTCGACGTGGTTTCTCTGTTAGTGTAGCTTTTAGATTTTGGCTCTCTATAAGTGTGTTGTTATTTGCAGTACGTTTAATGCGTTCGTTCGATTTGATTTACGCCGTACTGAGCAAAACTACCCGTGTGTATACACCGTAGACAAAAGGATCTTTTGTTGTGTACAAGAAACAATGCGAGTATGCGTAATTGGAGCAGCTGTAACCTAATTTTTTACCCTTTGCGATTCGTGGTCCAACACAATCGTTTCGGTTTTCGTACTTCGAACCAATAAGGTTTTGGCAAATTTGAGGTGTAGAATTGACGTAATCGAATCTCAAAATGGTAGACTCGCACCTGTTTAAGTGTCAGTGTCAGAACAAGAGTTTGAGTAAATTAAAGTGCGCGGGTGAGGAATAATAAAGAGCCGATCGATAAACAAAATAATGTCGCGTCCTTTTGTCCAAAAAGTCGGATATATATTCATGTTACCTTTCTGATCATTCCTATTTGGCATTTCTGACTATTGAAAACTAAAAAGAAATTTTCTTGAAAATGAAAGACGCTTTATCTTGGACAGACAAAAATATTTCATGAAAAGAATGCGTCACATCCGCATTCATTCCTTATCGCCGGTGACTAATCCTAATCGACTTGATGGCGCCTTGATATCGCTCTAGAAAATTCGCTGCGATTCGCATCAAAAAGTTATATGTACAATTGTTTTGTTGATATTACCATTTTATACGC